ATATATATATATATATATATATATATACACACACACACACACACACATACACATATATTAATTCTACATATATATTTATGTAATATTTTTACATAATTAGGTATCTTAATTACAATTAGCAGGACCTGCCTGATAACCCATGCCGAATGTAAAGGGAATTTAATTTGCTAGCACTATATTTAACCCTATAACTTTCCGAGACACCATAAAACCTGTACATGGGGGGTACTGTTCTACTCGGGAGACTTCGCTGAACACAAATATTAGTGTTTCAAAACAGTAAACTGTATTACAACGATGATATCACCAGTAAAAGTGAAGTTTTTTGCATTTTTCACGCACAAACAGCATTACACGGACAATATTATTGCTGTGATACTTTTTACTGTTTTGAAACACAAATATTTGTGTTCAGCGAAGTCTCCCGAGTACAAAAGTACCCCTTCATGTACAGGTTTTATGGTGTTTTCAAAAGTTACAGCGTCAAATATAAGGCTTGCGTTTCAGTTTTTTCACATTAAAATTCGCCAGATTGGTTACGTTGCCTTTGAGACCCTATGGTAGCCCAAGAATGAAAATTACCTCTATGATGGCATACCATTTGCAATAGTAGACAACCCAAGGTATTGCAAACAGGGTATGTCCAGTCTTTTTTAGTAGCCACTTAGTCACAAACACTGGCCAAAATTGGCGTTTTTTGCATTTTTCACACACAAACAAATACTAACGCTAACTTTGGCCAGTGTTTGTGACCAAATGGTACTAAAAAAGACTGGATATACCCCATTTGCAATACCTTGGGTTGTCTACTATTGCAAATGGTATGCCATTATGGGTGTAAATTTCATTCCCCGGCTACTATACAGTCTCAAAGGCAACGTAACCAATCTGGCGAATTTCAATTTCAAATGTAACGTGCTATATTTGACCCTGTAACTTCCCAAAACGCCATAAACCTGTACATAGGGGGTACTGTCTTACACGTGAGACTTTACTGAATACAAATATGTGTATTTTATTGCAGTAAAAGCAAACAGTATTATGACATTGACTGTTAAAATGTCATCTAGAACAAAATTTTTTTTTAAAATAATCTTATTTTCTCCCATTTTTTTCATATTAAATTATGTTTCATAGCTAAATATTTGATATTAAATGAAAGCCCTGTTTCCCCCTGAATAAAATTATATATAATAAGGGTGGGTGTATTTAATATGAAAGAGGTGAATTACGGTTGGACAGACATGTAGCGCAAATGCCCGGTTTTGTTTACATTTTGTTTTGTTCACAACGTGTACATTTGGCTCTGTCCTTAAGGGGTTAAACTCAATTATATCCAGGCACAAAAAACACACATTTCCCAAACACCCCAAAAGTACCTTAAAGGAACACTGTAGTCACCTATATTACTTTAGCTAAATAAAGCGGTTTTAGTGTATAGATCATTCCCCTGCAATTTCACTGCTCAATTCACTGTCATTTAGGAGTTAAATCACTTTGTTTCTGTTTATGCAGCCCTAGCCACACCTCCCCTGGCTATGATTGACAGAGCCTGCATGAAAAAAGAAAAACTTGTTTCACTTTCAAACAGATGTAATTTACCTTAAATAATTGTATCTCAATCTCTAAATTGAACTTTAGTCACATACATGAGGCTCTTGCAGGGTCTAGCAATCTATTAACATAGCAGGGGATAAGAAAATCCTAATTAAACAGAACTTGCAATAAAGAAATCCTAAATAGGGCTCTCTTTACAGGAAGTGTTTATGGAAGGCTGTGCAAGTCACATGCAGGGATGTGTGACTAGGGTTCATAAACAAAGGGATTTAACTCCTAAATGGCAGAGGATCGAGCAGTGAGGCTGCAGGGGCATGTTCTATAAACCAAAACTGCTTCATTAAGCTAAAGTTGTTCAGGTGACTATAGTGTCCCTTTAAACATAAAATAAAAAGGGGCGGAGCCAGCAGCCAACTGAAGCAGACGTGTACCAGGAGAGCTCCGCCAAAATAAGCCTGCTAAAAGCTAAATTATCACCCAAAAGCTTACTAATCTTAACCAGCAATACCATACCACATGATGGGAAAGAAATCCAAGCACCAGAAGGCATAAAAGCCAACGGGAGCCCGCGACATTGAAGACCTTCTCCTCCGTCCCGCAAAGGCCGCAGAAGCCTTTGCGCCAAAATACAATGGTGACACGACCTCGGCCTCCTCGGGGGAGCAGGCGCTGGATGAACTGGATGAGTTCCCCAAGCACAGGGGGATTACACTTCCTCGGACGAAGACAACAACCTACCCTCCACTACGGGTAATATAAAAGCCCTCCTCCGCCACATCCACGCACTGTTCGCGGCAGACATAGCAACACTGCAGGAGGAGATACATACAGTGGAGGGGGCAAGTTAAGAGGACAGAGGAGGACACACAAGGCCACACCTCCAGATGTATACAGCTGGAGGCCCAAAACACAGAGTTCCGGCGCAGCCAGACCCTTCTTACAGACCGCCTAGACACGGTGGAGGACCAGCACATTAGCCGGAACATTAACATACGAGGTATCCCAGAGACTGTGTCACAAGATGACATCCCACACTTTGTTGGGAGACTCTTCGCCACCTTACATACACCACAGCAACCGACGGCAGCCGCGATAGAAGCGGTCTACGAATTCCAAGAGCAACCAAAGCCCCAGCGGGCACCTCGAGAGATGTAGTACTCCAACTCCAAACACGATCAGCCCAACAAAACATCATGGCGGCGGTGAGGAGGAAAACCACTCACCGCTTTGAAACTACCAATTTATCATTTTTCCAGGACCTATCCAAGCCTACTTTGACATGGAGAGGACTATTCAAACCCCTGACAGCAACACTCCATACCTTATCGCTGGGCATTCCCCAGAAGTCTAGTCATCATGTACGGGGGAGCCACGACCCGCATAGCTGACCCATCCGAAATGGACTCCGTGTGGTCGGCACAGGACTTGCCACCGCGACCGGAACAAACCACCCCAGCACTGAGACCAACAACCCCCCACATCTGGGACATGGCTGCAGTTAAACCGTTTCAGCCAGCCAACCCCGGTGCCTCAGCTTCCACTACCTTCAAGGCCCAGAGGGCTGCCAAACACCCATCAGGCACTTGAGGGGCCCAGGGGGACTCTGGCAGAAAGGACTGCCTGACAGAGCTGCCGCCGGACCCTACCTATTTTGAGCGCAGCTACACTTAAAGCCCTGTAACTGGATGCACGACGGACACCGTGCCAATCTGGATAAGCGCACAGTTGCAGATATTAACGCATGTTTAAAAGGTTATATTTCCTGCAGAGCATGTACACTTGTATACTCAAAATGTTGTCCTCAACGGTACAGGTACTAGTCTATCCACCGGCACAAATTAATGTACCAACCCAAGCCTACCTACAACAGGCAAACAACAGCTAGGGCACACTCACAATTAATATATGCAAGCACCGACCTAAGCTCAATAGCGCCCCACGTTGGAAAAGACGTATTGCTGACCACATTACACGCAATTAACCAGGACTTACACATGTATAGCCTTGCTCAGACGCTCTAACACACGAATGTCTCCACAGTAACAGCTTTTAAACCAGCTGACACTCAGACGTACATGAATAGCCTGCAACCCGGCCACTTACATAGAGATGCATGTGATAGCGCTATACGCCTGTTGGGGTTACCAGTTACCTGTAGTAACCTACCTTAACCTAAAATGCATACATGGTTCAGCTGTCAGCTAGACCAGCTAAAGTTTAATCTACGGTCTCATTAGAAAATACTGACGTGTTTACCATATCATCTCCCTGCTACATACCTAAAACTATGTCTAGCTTGTTTTAACAAAATTACAAAATGTGCAGATTCCAAGTGCTGAATCGAACGCTTGTTACTTACTCAGTGCGTGCTGTTGTGGCACTTCACTTATGCCTGTATTTTCCTTGCACAAAATAAAATAAAGAATTTTAAATAAATAAATAAAATAAAAAAAACCTAAAAGTACATCCCCTGATATCCCCGATCCAAAAATTTACCAAGATCGGTTCAGGGGTTCAGGATTTTCCTGGAAGTCATAATTTGACGCACGCATGCGTCCTATTCCTAAAATGGCATCACAGAATCGCGGCTAAGTGCCGCTGGGGACCAACCGGGAACCGCGAAGTCTTCATGCCGAAAATAGTTCCAGGGCATTCGCGGCTAAGTCCCCCTGAAGTCTAGTCGCGGTTTTGGTCCATGTGATCGGCTGCCAGGGAGCTAGCGGTCGGTTCTATGCGCACGAATGGAAAGTGCCGAACCAGGGGGAATAAAATATGGGTTGTTAAAGTCGTTGACCTGGCCCCTAGTTGGTGGGCAGGAGGCCAGCTTCCACACTCCTCCAGGAGTCCGTGCCAAACGTCTGTGGATAACACCGATAATGCAGACCAAGTCCGCCATCAGGGCTTGACAACGCCCAGCGGTCCTGGATGGCCCGCAACACACACTTACCTTCCCAGCAGCTCCCTTCAGCACCCATCTAAATCTCGCAAGTCCAGCGGCCGGTTACCATGGCAATGCGCCGCGTGGCACAAAGGCCACCAGAGTTTGACAGCGGAGATGCTGGGAAGGGAAGTAAGAGTGTTGCTGGGACCTCTCTGCAAAGTCCATGCCACCGGACCATATTAAAAAAAATTACATTAAAAATGATGTCATATTCCAGCACCCGGTATCACTAAACCGAACGAGGGAGCAGTGAGGAGCAGAGAGAAGATCCCCACTGGAACCCAGGGAGAGGCCCGACATCGGCTCCAAAAGGTAGGGAGCAATAAAGAGTGTTTGTGCATGTCTGTCAGTGTGCGTGCGCACGCCTGTCAGTGAGTATGGCTGTGTGCGTGCGCGCGCCTGTCAGTGAGTATGGCTGTGTCTAGACGTGCTCCACCTTTACAGAGTTTCAAGAAGTAGCGGGAGGATCAGATTTGGTACAGGGTGCAGACGGCACCATTTGGGGTATACCAGAGGCCGAACTACAGAGTTGCATACTGGCAGTGGCAATGTCAGTAGAGTCTGCTTTTTTCTTCTTTTTTTGCGGCCCACATAAACTTAAACTTGTTTCTGTGGCTCGTGCTAGACTTTGATTTTGACATGCTTGCACTACACAAATACACACTACACAATCACACACTGCCTTCACTATGCAAACACACACACTGCCTTCACTATGCAAACACACACACTGCCTTCACTAATGAAATACTTTCACTGCATCCATTACACACACATATATATATATATATTCTTGAAAACATAAAATTTTGACTGGCATGTAAATTTTGTGCATTTACCTTAATTTAAAAAAGATTTGCAAAAAAATAAACATGTTCAGTTAACAGATTTGTGTAGAAATAGGTTATTTTTTCAAAAAGGTAAATGTACAGAATATAGGTAAGTAATCGGCCTGAAAGTTCACAGATTATCGGTATCTGCTTTAAAACAATTCAATATCAGTCAATCCCTAGTTAAAAAGTCTGTAACCTCTCTGCACTGTAAACACAGCTGGAGGTGTGGTGGTTATGGTGCTTAACACCTTAAAGCGGCACTGTCATGCCGAAACCCGTTTTTTTTTTAACCCCCCTCCCGCCTCCACTACATCCAATTGACCCACTAGTCACCCCCAAATGCCCCTAAGCCCCCCCATTACCTATTTTTTAATCCTTATTTTCTGCCCCGATCTTGATTCAGGGCGCCGCCATCTTTGTGTGGGTAGAGGAAGTCCCTGTGGGACACGTCATCAGCCCACACTAGGCAGACACTGAGATTCCTGCACATGCCCAGTGAAACACCTGGACATGCGAACGGGAATTTCAGCTATTCATTCATTCATCAGACAGACGAATGAGTGAATAGAAAGATCAGCCGAACAAACAAACACAATGTATCAGTGTATCTGAGTATCAGTGTATGTTTGTTCGTGCAGTTTATTACAAGGAGGGAGCTACCGGCATGCAGCTCCCTCCTTGTAATATGTAACTATTGAAGCGGCAGGGAGCAGTGCTCCCCACCACTTCATAAGCCCCCCAGTACCCCCTCTCACTCTATGGGGGTCAATATGACCCCCATAATAGCACAAGAGAGATTTAAATCTCCCAAATGCCCCTACTCACTATACCGCGAGTAGGGGCATGTCTACTAAACAGTGAGCAGCCTGTGGCTGCTCACTGTTGAAAAAAAAAGACATAAATTACAATAAGGGGGGCGGACCTATTGTCCTCCCCCCCTCCCCCACCCTGAGCGGCGGGTGGGGGCCATAAAGATAATGGGGGGGGACCTACTGTCCTCCCCCACCCCTGAGCGGTGGGTGGGGGCCCTAATAAAACAATAAGGGGGGGGACCTACTGTCCTCCCCCCCTGGCCCCCAGCCCTGAGCGGTGGGTGGGGGCCCTTATAAAACCATAAGGGGGGGGGACCTACTGTCCTCCCCCCGGCCCCCACCCCTGAGCGGTGGATGGGGGCCCTAAATAAAGATATGGGGGGGAACTTCTGTCGTCCCCCCCGGCCCCCACCCTTGCGCGGTGGGTGGGGGCCCTAATAAAACAATAA